GGACAAAMTGTTATTGTGTCCATACCTGAGTCTTGTCCTATCTAATCTGAACAACCTTCAGCCTGTTCACAAGATTATTCTTGCTCTTGTCACTGAGGTTATACAATCTCGTCTTAGCATTCCCATGGCTCTCCTTTGGATGCTTTCCAGTACAGCAACATCCGGACACAGCGCTCCAGCCAAAACATCAACAGTGCACTTTTKTTACCTCTCAGGTCTTAAATTTAAAATATTTGTTAAAAAATTAATAATGASATTTTAACATCATTACAATGAGTGAATTTAGGTAGCAATTTCTTAGGACTCCCTCCAGAGTTTTTTCTGCAAGGCTAAGGTGGGCAAAACTATCCAAAGTCATTTGATAGAGTTAATAAATGAAGCCACAGGTGTTGATAGATTCACCCCAAAAACCTTTAGAGCTACACATTAGCTTCAATATGCTTGAGATTCATCTGTCCACACATGTTAAAAACACWACTTTGAGTGGCTGAACACACAAAATTCAGGCTCAGTAATAAGAACAGCAGATGGTGTAAGACCCTGTAGTGTTGGATCCAGTTTCTTCTGCATTTGGATACAGTTGACAATGGGRTTTGATTGCACAAATTGCTGAGATTCATTTCTAGAGATGAGACTGAAGTGTGAACATCCAGGACTGGAATGAGAATGGATGAGTCGAGAGCTGCAAGAGCTTCATTTCTAAGTTGTTTCCACATTTGCTTTCGCTTTGAACAGTATCTCCCAGGGTGCACTATGTGGGAACATCACCTGCTTTGTCATGCATGACAGATGAGGTGTGTTCACATGCTTTTGCAACCACACATTTCCAGTGAATTACAGGATCCACACAGCACTGCCTTGTTTTGGATGAGTGCTCCTGGTTCAGAGCAGGTGTCCTTTATCACACCTCTTGCTCTCCCAAACCTGTGAAGGCTARCTGCAGGCTCAGATGTTTAAATAAAAAAAAAATGTTCTGGGGTTAAAACTTTAAATCTTCAGAATCCAGGAAGTTCACAGTTTCTGGTGACATGACAGTACATGATGAATGAGTACAGGAAAAAACATCAGGATGATCAGGACATCCCCTGTGYTCACATACCAAGTTGATTACATATCTAATGTTCTGACATTGTATGGTTTTCACATTCTCCTGCAAAKTAAACCAAGATTTCTCATACCTTTAAGCTGCAGTTGGATGATAAGCCTTGAGCAGAAATCCTCTTTTAAGAAAACCTTGCTGACATTGTTTCTCATTTCCACACCGCAGTGTACTCTTCCTTAAAATTTTTGAAAGACATGGCAACAACAACAAAAAAAAAAAACCAAAAAAACCAAAAAAAACCAAAACCACGGAAACAAACAAACAAAAAGAGAGTGTTTGGGCAGAGAGGGTTTAATGCAGACCAGTTTTCCAGTCAAGGGCTAGCAATTGGAAAGTGTGGCTCCACTACAGTCAACTCAGCCTAAGCCAATTCTGCCTCCCCTTCAGCTCAGTCTCTCACTGGTGCTGCTGCTCATCCAAACCTGCAAGCAGTCAGCCAAGGRAGCAACTGTGGGAGGAGATGATCAGCTTTTTCTGTGGGGATACACCATGGACTGGTGTTGAACAGCTTGCTAGGGCAGAAAGGAAGGAGTTCCTCCTTGTCCTTACCTTCGTGCCTTGTCTGCCAACTCCTGTTCCTTCTCCTTTCCCTGCTTGGGGCCACTTACCTGCTCCTCTCCTTGCTCTGGCCCTGGCACTCACTGGGACCTTCTTTAAGCTGGTCAGACTCGCTCAGACAATAACAAGCTGAACACTTTATTGCTGCTTTAGTTTTCTGCAGGGACAGGGAGTTAAACTGACTGACAGGCACCAGCACAAAGCCTTCAGTGAAACCAGTCTGCAGAGAGATAGGCGATGGCATTAAATGCTGTGATGAAGCCTTGATTTTCTGCTTGTTCAGATTCCTGAACCAGCTTGGGTGGCCAATAAATCAGACCAATGCCACCACAACAGTGAAGACAAAGACATGCTGTAAGGGCAACGAGGGCATCAGTCATTTCAATTTAATCACCTTAAAACTGCTGCAAAAGGCYGAGTTCTGACTCACCACATTGTAGGGAGCAGCAGGCAGCCAGGTTTGCAGAAAAGGGAACAGACCTGTCTCCTGAATCAATCAGTGTTTAAACAGTAATTCCCCACAACATGAGCTTAATCCCAGGGTTTTCCTCACACATTACAYGAGCTCAGTGAGTCACTGCCTCACACTGCTGTGGAAACAAATTCCATTGATAAACCAACTGTTATCAAACACTTYAGGGACAAGGACTCCACTGTTATTTGGAAAGATGTCCCCTATTTGTCAGTGTGTTCTTGGCTCCAGATTTTGTTCAAGGTAGAAACATACGTAGCACATCAGAATTTCCCCTGGTTTCTGGGAATTCCRGTAGCCACCAGAGCCATAGGTCTGCATCTCTGTGCAGCTTCTGCAAGAGCATAAATGTGTCATCACAGAGCCTTCCAYGTCCAGCCCACAGCGAGCGTGCTGCCAGCTCAGGTAGGAAAATTTTAGGGGTTTCCTCCTTTATAATTAATTCAAAGGCCACAGACATTTTGCCATAGATACAAAACATGATTTTGCTGCTTTCAGTCCTCAACACCCTCTTTTGCTAAAACAAAGAAGGTGAGTAACAGCAGTGGAACAAGTTAGTCCACTAATCTGCAAATAAGACACTGAAGGACTCAGATCAGTGCAGGGGGAAATAATGAGTACAACCTGATGAGTGGTATCAGGAAATATCTCCTCTTAAAATGCTTTGTGGGTTTTCTGCAGTGGCATATCTGCTCAGCCTCACRCTTTAAATTTGAGTGCAGGCTCTAGAGGCAGCGTCTTTTCTGGGCACTAATAATTTTTCAACAAATTATAAAATTCCTGTGGTTTATTTTCTCTTTGAGAGAACAATCTGGGCTAGGGTAGAAAGCTGAGGATTTTTAAGATGAATCTAATTAGAAGATCTTCTCTTTGAACCACCTGAGAAGGTAAATCATATTATATCTCTTGGTCTTGTCTTTATTTTCTAAAATATGTGTGATGATGATTATTGTGCTGGGTGGATTTGCAAGAGGTGGTGTAATTATTTTGCAACATTSATGAAAAAGAGAAGCTTAGAGAAAAAGTAAAAAGAAGGTCATGTCTTCTGTCCTGGGTTAAAATGAGACCTTGCTATTTGCCTCTAGGAATTCTCTGCATTAAGAAATTAACTTTAAACAATATTTTCCAACCTGAATGCTGTGGAGAACAAGCATTTGGTAGCCAATCTGGRCTTCTTTAGCTCTCTGGGGTTTTATAATTTGGAGATACTTATTGCTTCCCAGGAGACAGTTTGTATGAGAAATGAGGAATGTGTCTACACATGTGCTTTGCCCACTGAAGGTAGAGAGATACTTGAGAATTTGCTCTCTGAAAAGTTTACAGCAGTAATTTATTCATTGAGAAATTAAATGAATGAGGAGAACAGCCACATTACTTGAGAAGAACATTAATACTTTTCCCCATTTGCAACTTGTCTGTAGGTTTTCTGTCTTTCTAGATACTGGCTTGGGAGGTTTTGGAGTTTTAAATTGCTACCAAAGCCTGAGTAGCAGCCCAGTTTCATTTACATGAATTGTCCTCTACATGGTGTCTTATATGCACAATTGACAGGGGTTTGCTGTCAGCTGCATTAAGTCACACAGAAGATGTGTTTAAAAATAGAGGCCAACCCACAACATTTGAATTTGAAGGCGACTTTGGGAACAGCGTAAAAGATGCATGCAAAACTCTACCAGATGTTGTTTACCCTTATCATAAATTTTGTTTAATGACCTTTTTGCCTTTCTGTTATCTCTCTCATCAACCTGTTACCAAAGTAATACAAACTCTTTGTACAGATTAAGTTTTTTACCATATAGTGTGAGAATATGCTGAATGTACAAAGCTACCAGAAACATTTGTTTTGTTAATATTTCAATTATTAGGTCATGTCACTATCTCAGGGACTTGTGTCACAGCTTRTAATGTTTCTCTCGTGATCCACTGTGATCAGTCGTGGTCTTGTGATCAGCCAGATCTATGGAAGTCTTGAGTTTGTTACAAGTGGATGATGTCTTCAAAATTGCAAAATTTGAAGCCTTTGTTGTAGAATGTTTGATTTAGTGACAGATCTGCCCAGGAAACTGAAAAAACTTTTCCATAGTTTATTTTTTTCTCCCTAATTCTGCCAGACATTTATCCATTGGATTAAAAAAAAAACCAGAATCCCAAAATCAACCAAACAAACAACCAATTAAAAAACAAGAAAAAAGCCTGTAACACTTTTTTGGAATGGGGTGGGAAGATATTCTGAATCACTGTGATRTCCTTCTTTCTGATTATTCCTGTATAGGACTATAAGAGCAGCTATGCTGTGTTAGGTCAAATGTCTAGATAACAAAGTTTGCTCTTTTTTTTTCTTTATTTGTTTATTTTATTTTGTTTTGTTTTGCTTTTGTTTTGCTTTTGCTTTGTTTATGTTTGTTTTTGTTTTCTGCTTTGATTTTAGTTTTGTATTTTTTTCTCTGTTGCTATACTAAAATATCTTAAAATTAACTTTCCATTTTTAATTGCATCTCAGAATTCAGTTGGCATTTTCTTCAGACCCCATTTCTGAGAGGTAATAGTCACTTCAGAGTCCATCACAGAACACTAATGTCATGATCATTTCTTCTACCTTACACTTCTCAGTGATGAATTTGATGATCTAATCACTCAGCCTCCTGTGACCCCAGTGCAGATCCTGACAGGCAGACTTTGCTTTTRTTAGTCTTGATCATGTAGAGTTTTCCATGGTCACTGCCATCATCACTGCCTTTTCCACATCCCTTGAGAAAGGAGGATAAGGTACAGGGTTACACCATGTTCCTGCAGAGCTCTGGTGATGATATCTCCATATTGGAAAAGAAAATTATTTATACCTACTTTTGCCTCCTATCTTTTAACCAGGTCAGTATCCAGGTGAAGTCCCACTCCAGATGGATCTCTCTAAGAACCACATTTGGTGAGAAAATCTCACAAATCTGTGCTGGACACCCACGCTGGTGACATYGAATACATGCTTGGCTGTAAACTCAGTTCCATCCTCTTCCAGTTCTCAAGGTGAGAACACAGATCATGTTCATTTTCTGTCGTGGTCTCCTCTGAGCAGGAAAGTGCCAACAAAACCCCTTCCTGCTTGGGAGCAGCAGCTCTGATAAATGATGGTTGCAATAGGCAGCCACTGATCTCAGGAGGTGCTGATTTTTCTGGTGATTCATTGCCTTGCAAAGTCTGAGTTTGGATGAACAGCCTTTTCAGTGCAAATAGATTGTAATTTTACAAAAGTTCATGGTTTTAATCAGGCTGATGTTATCCACTCAGGCACTATTCAGTACTATGTTTAGAGTCTTTCTTCAGTGCTTAAAATGATTTTCATAATCTGCTTGGGTTCTGCCTTTTTCTGTAGCTCTCTACTAGCTCTTAACTCTGGAGCTAGGGAAATATTTCGTTAGGAATAACCAGAAAGTGCGTATTCATAGCAAAATATATATTTTATATGTTTTTCTATTCCTTTTGGCTGCATGAACATGTCAATACCTGTTATAAGGGTCCATGCATGTTTTACCTCTCCCTTTATGTTTCATCATCGAATCTACTGTGTGAGTAAATTAGCTTAGTTATTAATGAGCTGGAAAATGTTATTTTTGGGGGGGATTGATTTCAGGCACCACATTATATTCTAGTGTGTCATTATTCTTAGATTCTGGGTTACTTATTTGTTAACTTCAATGCAATTAATGCAGAAATGGGCTAAAACCTCAAGATAACACAGATTATTYCCTGGAGTACCACTCTTCATTGTGTCTGTTGCTAGCCAAGGGGTAACAAATCACACAGAAATCTGTAGCTGAGCTCACGGTGTTGCTACAGCCGTCTCTAGAGTGGGATACTGTGGCAGAGCTCTCCCTGCTGCCACAGGACAGTCCTTCACTGACAGMAACATTCCTTACTGCTCCCTCATCTCCTGGCTGTGCATTTCCCGAGTACCACTGAGAGGGATATTCGAAGATCCAAAGTCAACTTTTCTCATGGCAGATTTCCAGCATCTTCTTTGTCCCTATTAGTAATCTGCTTAGGACTCTGCTTTCTCCAAACAATTTCTTTCTCCTATTTTGAGTAGATACAGCTGACATGAGAAAAAGGAGCGATGGGGAAACAATCTGATGGCAGCGCAGAGGAATAATTACAGACCTTGTTCTGAGGCCTGTCTTGCACAGATTGAACAGGCAAAGTTGCTGAAGAAGGCAGAACACCTGATTTTTGTGGTGTGGGCTGGTATTTCCTCCTGTCCCAGTCAGATGAAAATTCCCTGATCCTTTTGCTTCATTGTCTTTTCAGGCTCCACAGCAAAGTCGCCGGGCAAAATGCCATCCCCAATCACTGCAGGTCTCCACTGCCTGCTCCTACTGGTCTCAGCCTTCTGCCAGACACCACAGGGCTCAAACTTCTATCCATTTTCATATGTAGTGAGTATCCTTCTCCAGTCTCATTGGTTTTCATTGGGTTTCTGCTTGTAGCACTGCGATGCTCTCCTTTACATCCACAAAACCTTGGAAGAAGTCAGAATAAGACCAGGAGGGGACTCTGAACCCAGAGTGTGTAAAAGGTGGAGAAATCCAGCAACTGGGCTGTTCTTGTTTCCCAGTCTTAAAGCCTCTGCAGAAGGCACTGAGCAAAACATTTCTGGTTTCTTACCTATGTTGGCTTGCCCAGGATTTCAGTTGCTGTTCCTGGAGTTAAGTCTACATAACAGCTGTGTGGCACTGCTCCTGGATGGAACTCACCCATCCTGTGAGACAGGAGCCAAATATATCTAGAACTGATGTGTTTGCAGGTAGGTGAGASGAGTCTCACCACTGTCCCAACAGCAGGATTCGTGCACAGGACCAAAACGCCTCTCCTGAGTGATTTGTGTTTGGATGTTGCCTGTGAATTGAGATCTTACTTCAGTTTCCCCATTTTTCAATAATCCTCACAGACCCCTTTTGTTTCACCAATAATGTGAATTATGGAAAGCCATTTTRTGCTTCATCCTGTACTTGGGTTTTTTATTTCTGCACAAATAGTCCCTAACAAAAAAGGACAAAAGAGGATCAGAGAAACTAAGGGTCAGACCAAATGGGAGTAAATCTAATCTGGCAAAGAAAATTAGTCTACAAATCTACCAACTCTTGGCCATCACAATTATTATTAGACCAGAAAATACTTCTTTTGTCTTCTCCATAGTGAGTGAATGGGAACCTCCTTCTTTAAGAAAGTTGAAAAAAAGGAAAGGAAATATGAAGAGGAAGGTGGGAACTCCTTAGCTTTTTCTACCACTATCCCCTGTGTTGGCAAACCAAGATATTCCTGCTTGGAGGAGCTTCACCAGCACTTCAGCAGATGTCTAACAGTGACCAAATATCTTGTTCGGTCAGTTTTTTCAAGCTGTCTCCACAGCACTTAGRAGTTTTCATGAAAAAAGCAACACCTCTATTTTTAGCATCATTGATCCATGGTACAGCCTACAGATGAGTCATTACTTAAAGGTGGGAAATATGTGAAGTATTTAGCAACCTAACAATACCCTGCAGTTGTTTGGGAGAGTAATTGAAAAAGGAAACCACCGAGTCCAAACCTGGAGGAAGACATGGGTCACGGTGCACTTTCTGTAACTCTTGCAGCCAACCTCTAACACGAAGGTAACGTCCCAGCAGAGCAAAAAGTGCCAGCACGCCTTKGGATCCTCACCCCAGCACAGCTGTGCTACCAAACCCAGCTCTAATCACACACCAGATGGTTCCTTTATGTAAAGAGATGACTTAAGAGTTGCCAAGCTATTCACCCTTTCTGTAAATAAAGTTTTCAGTAGGAACCAAGAAACTGGCAAAGCTGCGAATTTCCTGCCTGTGTCTTTGCTTTTTCTTCAGCCTTTCTTGCTAGCAGTGGTGCCARTGTATTTTTAGGGCACAATTAAAAAAGATAAGATGGTCTGAATCTCACTTGGCTGCAGCCTGTGTAAACCCAGTCACAGTGAAATGGTGCCACCCCTGCCCTGGCCAACTGTGTGTTACTGAAGGCCCCAAAATCACTGACGTTGTAGCTGAGCTGGAGCCAGGGCTTTTCAATCCCCTTTCTTCTCCTGCTYAGGCTGTGTCTGCTGCTGCAGAGGTGGGAGCTCAGAGCAAAGGGGAAAGCAAAGGGTGATCAGAGTTCAGTTTCTGGATTCAAAGGCCAGCTGACCAGGTTTCCCAAGCAGTTCACAAGGCTGGCCTAGGACTAAGGGCACTGTATCAACCCTGTACTGAGCTTGCAGCTCAGACCCAGAAATCCTCCTAAGCAGGGACAGTTCCCTTGCAGAGATATGCAAAGAGTCATCTGCAAACTCAGGACATCTGTCAGCTGGTGTTTAACCCTTCCCTGCTTGGAAGATAGAAATATTCTGTTTTTAAGAGGAAGATGGGGTGGGAAGTTGGAGAGGTCAGACCTAGACTAATGGGAAAAAATAATCTATGTCAGTATTTTCATAATTAATTTCTTTCACCAACAATAGCAAATAGCAGCTAAGGCTTCACTTTGTTGTTCTCACAGAACTTCACCCTCTTTTTTTTTTTTTTTTTTTTTTTTTTTTTTTTTTTTTTTTTTTTTTTTTCCCACAGTTTGACAGCACATTTGGACAGGAGAGTTTCCAACCAGAGATTCAAAGGCAGAAACGAAACAGTACGTACACAAATTTGTAGTAACAGAGTAGGTTTCTAGAAAGCCGGGGGTGAAATCGCTATTAGGGACAGCATCTCTTGATGCACTGAACTGGGAACATCAAGGATGAGGTGTGGTTGTGGTTAAATCCCCRCTGAGTACCACAGTGCCTCTCACTCACGCTCTCTCAATACCATGGGGAGCAGAATCAGAAGGATAAAGTGAGAAAACTCGCTTTATGGGTTGAGATAAAGAAAAAAATAATCCTCTGTGGCCTCAGTCTGTGGCTGGCAACCCATCCACTTACTGAYTTTAAGGAGAGAAGGGATGAGACAGCTATTCTATTAATATATTATGCCATTTGTGTCAGCTTCCTATTGCTCTGACACCAGAGAAATCTGGCTTTTGTTGGACCATCAGCAGGTGGAACAGAGGCAAAATGTCTGCTGAGTGGAAGAAAATTCCCTAAGGAGGTTGACTTGGTAACCAAGTTACCATGAAATAGCAACAAAGAGCCCAAATGCTAAATTGGAGGCCATCAATTTGTGATTTACCCTCAAACACAGTTCTGCAGTCTCATTCTATTTCTCTTTCAGTGGTTATTGTTGATCTCCCCCTTCCGGAATACACTGTTGACATTGAAGTACACCTGGACGATTCATCTTATCTACAGCCAATCAAAGACTATTTCAAAAACATCGATCTTACAGTTCCAATTAATATTTCAAATGCACCAATGACAGTTTCAAACATCAACATTACAACAGGTGGGTCAGTTATTGATTTGTATATTCTGGATAATGTGAGATTTTGTCAGTATTTAATGTCTCCCATCACACTTGGAAATCACCATAATTGAACCATCTCTGCTGCCTGCTGGAAGCCTCAGCAGGAYTGAAGCTCTAGCACACAACAGCATATTTGTTTATCTGTCTCTCACCACTCCTCATTATATAATGCTGGCATTAGGAATAGCTCTGAATGCTTTTCATTTCCTAAGGAARGCACAAAGCCGGAGGAAGCCTGAGCCAAAGGATTTTGCTCCAGTTTGTGTAACAAGCAGTCTGAGTTACTTTCAAGTTTCAGGAAGCTGTGACAGCAGTTATCAGACTGTTTACTTCCCTCCTCCTGTATCTGGAACATAAATGGCTGTCATAGCCTGTACTCTGACCCTGACAGAGACAGGCTGCGTGAGACACAACTCACTTAACCTATTCTTATGGGGCAAGATTTCAGACAGGTTTCATTACACGGACTGTGGTTGTGTGACATCACATCTGAGTAACRCAGCTGAGAATATAAACACACCAARCATTTACAATAGCAGAGGAGATTCAATACATTCTTATCGATGGCCCATAAAGCAGCGAAAGGAAATGTTCAACAGTTCCCAAAACAACRTGCAAACAAATCTTCTAAAGGCCTTCAGGCTCAGTTTAATGCGTGAAAGTAATTTTGTTAGTATCTTACTTTGAAAATGACACATTAAGAGCAGAAAAAGTTACAGTCAAGTGTTTTGTTGGGTTTTTTTTGGGTTTGTTTCTTTATTTTAGTGCTTTGAAGCACTTGGTGATGATGCTACCTTCTCTCACGCAGCATCTGTCAGGACACAGAACAGCACAACACCTCATTAGCCCCTGGGACTCTGAATGACTTTGCTCTTACAGTTTTTAAAAACCTATACAGTTGCTTTCATCTCAGATGACATAAAAACATCCAGTCTGAAAAGTATTATGGGACCCTGGCCARTATGCCAGGTAAATGTTTTGGATCAGACTTCACATCTTCATTCAGTTACTTAAAAGTAATTGATCAGACTTATCCCGGTACCAGTTTGGTTGCCATTTCTGGTTAGTCATTTACAATCAGTAGTATAAAATTTGCAAGGTGTCAGATCATCATCATTTTGGCATCACTCAAGTGAACTCACAAGAAGGGCAATATTTTGAGATCCCTGTCATGAAGATACAGAAATGTAAATATTTGTCATGCAATAGCTATGCCCTGTTTGCCATTCTCATGGTATTTCTCTGTCTGTCTGCCTGCAGTCTGCCTGCCCAGTGGTGAGAATAGCAGCTGCTGTTTCTGTGAAAATGGATACGCCTGGCCAAGCACAGTGTGCAGTGATTTGACACCCTGCCCTTCTCTGAGCCTGGAACCAGCCCTGCCCTGTGGCTACACGCAGGAAATGCCTTTCTATGGACCCTACTGTGAGCCCCAGACTGAGGGTAAGAAGGCACAGGCATGAACTTCATCGCTGTGCAGCTCATATACTGGTTAGGGGTCAGAATATAGAGAAAAGGTGTGATAAAATGGCACATCAGGACTGAGCTGGCTACCACATCACCTGTGAATGTGGAAAGTCTGCAGGGATGATCTAAAGCTGTTCTCCTTGTGATATGGGTTTACCTTGACCCAAACACTTGCAGATATTTGGTTGCATTTGGATCCCCAACTCCTGTAGTCACTCCCATGCCTCTTTGAGACTTTTGCTGAGCAAAGAAAGTTTCATCTCATGAGATTTTCAACAGATTTTCACCTCAGAAGCATTGTTTTTGATGATTTTCATTTATTTTTTTGTCTTTCCTTACAGAGTCATGCGGTATGGGAGAGCCCATTGTAATGAATATGTCAGTCAGACTCGACACAGACTTCCAGGATGATCTCAAGGATTCTTCTTCTGTGTTGTACCAAAAATACAAAGCAGACCTTGAAAAAGCGGTAATGATTTTAGTTTTTCATCTCTGAAGGGAGAGTGCCCCCTAAGAAATTCAGTGTTTAGCCCAAGTGCCTGGGATAAAGGGTGGCCTCTCAGTGTCTCTGTGGGGAGCTGGGAAATGTGCATCTGTGAGAGCTACAAAGTGGGACAAAGCTGACTCCATTGAAAGCAATGCCAATATTCCCATTTATTTTAATACACTGGGAAGTATTTAGGGATCTTTTGTACCTAAAGCATGAAAACAAAAATCTTGTTGTTGGTCCAACTTAAATACGCGTGGGCACAACTGGAATGAAACCATGAACAGAAATTTATTCTGTGACACCAGGAGAGCACCAGGCCTGTTGTGTCAGATATGCTAACCTGTCCTTACTCACATCTGRAATGGAGAGTTTCCTATTTTAAGCACACTGTCGTAATACACAGAGGACTTACTCCATGTCATATTGTCTTTGTTTACAGTTTAATGCCAGCTACAAATGTTTACCAGGCTTTGTATCGGCAAAAGTAATGAGTTTCAGGTAAGTAAATAATTTCATTTTTTCCTGGAAGACATAAATCTTTCTGTCCAGTCTCAAGGAGACACGAGTCAGCAAAGGCAACATTCACTCTGGCTAGAACCCACTCCAAATATACACACACTGAATAACACAATRATCCCTGCAAAGCAAAGCCCAGCTATGAACACGGAAATGCAATTGTGGGTAAAATTCATCACTGTGCAAAAGTCCAAGAAATGTAATCATTCTCCATCTGGATCAAAGCCTTTTATGGAAAAGACTGAGCTCCACCCAAAGGGGAAAATGATGCAAACAAACGTAACATCATTTCCTAGGCCATGAGGAAGATGAATTAGCACATTGACTTCGGATGCAACCTTGGATTAAAGAGACATTGCTGCTGTCCACACATATTGAAGTGCAGCTGTATTTTAGATTTTCTAGGGGAAGTTTACTAGAAAAAGAATCAGATGAGGAAGATGTCATATAAAGGTGTTCATTCCTAGAGAAGAATTGTGGCACAACTTTCTTGTAAACCAGAGCAAGTCTCATGTGCCAGGAGGAGCCTTCAGAGGGGAGCCCTGTTGAGGCCTTCCCAGCCATGCAAGATGGGTCACCACAACACAGAAAACCACTAATACACAAGGGTATTTAATTCTGCTGCTTCTTTCTGTTTAGCCCTGGAAGTGTTTTTGTGAACTATGAAGTAAGAACAGGAGCAGCAAGCTTCGCTCAGGTTGGAGATTCCAACAGAGCTGTAACGCAGTTTCTGGATTCATCGTACCAGCTAAACCAATCTACCTTCACAAGAATAATAACTAGTAAGTTAAAAACTCTCAGTACCTTCCTTCAACCTTTACTTTAATATTTTTATACTGAATCTTGTAGCTGCCTTATATTGTTGATGATTTGGTATTAGACCCTCAAGAAACATTTATTTCTTGCCTGTTTCGTTTCATCCTGTGTCACCAAAGCTTAGGACCTTCATGAGAGGACCATGCACACAATACCTCCCATGAAAAACCAAAGCCTTCCAGATACCCCACTGCTCAGTTATTGGTTGGACTTGATGATCTTAGGGATCTTTTCCAGCTTAAATGGTTCTTAATGATCCCTGATGTAGTGTGTCCAGGGCAGAGAGATTGAACACCCTTAATTCATCTCCAGAACTGAGATAGCTYTAAGAATGTCAGGCTGCCAGCACTTCCTACTCTTTAAAGAAAAACATAAAACTCTTGCAGTTGACATGACAACACGTTCCCCTTGGCTTTTTCAGCACATTTTCCACTCTGCTGCTGGACAGTGTGTTGCAATTCAGTTGCCTGATCAAGTGCCCTGGAGGTGCTGTGCTCTCAGTGCACTGAGTGCTGCACTGTCTGTCTCAGAGGATTACTTCAACCTGGCTGCTTCTCTTCCCAGTTTATCCAGTTAGAAGGCAGTGGTAGTGATAGTAATATTTCTAAAACCTTCTAGAATCTTTCGCTGAGAAAGAAAAGAATATGTTGAGGGGAAATCCCATGGCTTGTGTCTGAGGTSATGCCCTGCAGCTGATGCTGGATACATGTTATTTATGACCACCTGGRATCCCTGTAAGATGAAAGACACCAGAAAGATGTGACATGAAGTGACAGTAATGCAGAACCTTGCTCTCTGTCTTTCCAGATCAGATAAACTTCACTGTGCAACCCTCAAACATTTTTGAAGGGGACACGGTAAGACTGAMCTGTGAGATAAATTCGACATTTTCYCATGCAACCTGGTATCACTCTGAYCAGACCATCTCAACCAGCTCCMGGCATTCAATAGAGACAGTTTTAGCAACCAGAAGATCGATTCTTAAAATTACCAACGTCACAATGAAGGATTCTGGTATGATTTTCTATTGTTAAAACAGCAGACRTAAATCTCTAGTGTGGCTAGCTCTRAAGAAAGCAAGATGAATGACGTGGCTGCATTTTCCTAGAGGAAATGTGAAAATTACACTCTGCCTCATAATTTTCCCATTGTTTTCATGTGATCTACATACTGACTGACATTGCCAGAAAGATGTGAACAGACTGAAGTGATTGTAYGTGACTGGGTGTTTAAAGTGCCAGGATTCACGATCAAATCAGGGAAAATGGTGGTGCCTACATGGCTGTGAGGCTCTCCCACGCTTTTGGTGTGGTAATTGGAGGCTGTGGTTGAATTTGCCCTTAATGCCCTTGCCTCATTCACACACATAACCTAACTAATCAGAGCTCAGAGCTACAGTTTTGCATRTTTAGGGATTTTTGAAAATGAGAAACAGGTAAACTGATGGCATTGTTCTGGGAGGAGATACCATGGGAATTATTATGTATTATCAGAGCTTGGACTCGGGCTCCCACTCAGTTCTTCTTTTTGGACCATGAATTCTAGATTCAACTTCAAAAAGAGCAGTCTGTGATCCAGTATTTGGGTACATATATGCAAGGTAGGAATCATTGGTCCAAAATTGTTTGGACTGAGGATGCCCTGAACTGTAGTGTGTCCACTCCTGTGTAGGTGGCCTGCTCACTTGGCTATCCCAGTGGGAAGGGAAATCCATTTCAAGTCTGTAGAGGTTTGGAGCTCTGATTGCCCATCTCAAAACCAAGCCTGGCTGCACCCAGGGGACTTGTGCCTGAGAGAGTGGCTGATAAGAGAAGGGACCTGGGGGTCCTGGYYRATGGCAAGTTGAATATGAGTCAGCAGGGCCCTGGCAGCCAGGTGGGACATCCCTGTCCTGGGGRCATCWGGSACAGMATCCCAGYTGGGCARGGWTGGGGATTGTCCCACTCTGCTCTGCACTGGRGCAGSCTCACCTTGAGTGCTGGGAGAAATTTTGGGTAYTAAAATACAAAAAAGGCATCAYACTRTTGGAGAGCATCCAAAGGAGGTCATGAGGATGGTGAAGKGTCTGGAGGGGAACCCTKATGGGGAGCRRCTGGGATCACTTGGTCTGTTCAGCCTTGAGGAGACTGAGGGAAAACCTCACTGTGGTCTTGTCCTCATGAGGGGAAGGAGAGGGGCAGGAACAGATCTGTCCTCCTGGTGACCAGTGGCAGAGCTCAAGGAGATGGCATGGACTGGAGTCAGGGTAGGTTTAGTTTGGAGGAACAGGCTCTGCAGGGCAGTGCTCACAGCACCRAGCCTGACAGARTCCAAGGAGCATTTGGACAAAACTCTCAGCCACATGGTGTGGCTCTTGGAGTGTCCTATGTAGGGCCAAGAGTTGGTTATTGATCCTGATGGGCCCCTTCCAACTCAGTATATTCTGTGATTCTGAGATAAATACTCTGCTCTCTTTGGCAATACTTTCTGAGAAGCTGAAGAGACCTAGACCAGTTCTGGTGGAGTCCACCCTGGGTATCYTTCTGTCACCCATCCTGTCTAGGAAACTTTTTACCGTGCCCTACTGCTGCCAGGAGGACTATGGACAATACACAGATCCCAAAAGCACCAAGTCTGCCAGATTTTAAATATTGCAGTCCAAAAACACTGATCTCTACTCAAATACCAATCAACACTGAACCCTAGTCTGGATTCATTTCACACTGGGAGTCTGCAGAAAGCATTCTGSTGGTGACCTGAAGGTACATATTGATCAGCAAGTAACAGAGCCACTGCAGAGCAGGGAAATGTGAAAACTGGACATGAGAGTAGCTCCTAATTCCAAATACAGAGGCAAACCCAGCAAAAACTGCTGTTTATGCTTTACAGGTTCCTATAGGTGCATGTTCACAAAGAGCAGCCCATCTCACACAGAGATACACACCGCCACAGAAACAGTATCTGTCTTCCCACTACAYATCACTCCAAATTTGGAGGACATCGATGTCACATGTAACAGCCCTGAAGTGCAAGCCAAGGGTCTTCTGCTGTCCTGTTGCACTGACAGACATTTAAAGTCACTTAAGGTTTCCTGGAAAGTAAATGGATCAATCAACATTACAGGTAAGATTAACGAAAGATTTTCTTTCACCTGCTTGATTTGTTCATTGGTCAAAGGTCTCCTCCTAAAGGGCTGCCCCAAAGTCCTAGGATGAGCACAGGGTGTGCTCCAAGGGTGTGTGTAGCAGGGGAAAGGACACTATGAGTGTTGTGCAGGTGCCTGTGGGGTTTCAGGCCTCTCATACACTGATGCCCTAAACTCTGCCATCCTGAATGGAAACAGCTGCCTGGACCAGCAGCACACCAGCTTCTTCCAAAAACCTTACTTCTGCATGGTCTAATTTTGAGAGCAAGGATGAGTGCATCAGTCTCAACTTCTATCTCCAGAATCACCCTTGGGGTACTGTTGCCTTGACAGCCAGTTTTTAATAATGACACAGACACGGTTAAGGGGATAAAAAGGGTTTTACCTCAGTATTTGGGATCCCAGGTGCACAACTTGATGGCAAAATGCACCCCTGTGTATAGCATGGAAACAAGTTTTATAGGCTTCACAGTTCAGCATATTTATCTAGGATTCCTCAATAAGAAACTTAACAAATGCAGTAATATCTCTTTATTCTAATGAATCCCCTTCCCAGATGAGRCCAGAGCCCAGTTTACACAAGATGTTYCAGAGAGAAGGCTTCACCCAAGGCTGGAGCCTYGGRTTTRAGRTAGCRCAGGGCACACTGACCCTTCCTCAGGATGTTTGGTCTCTCTGCCCAGCAGAACTCCTRAACTAAGCTGGAAWRTCAAGCTATAGGAATTAGAARCATGCAGGGCTAAGGGGTATAAGGGATACATAAAGGGTACAGAAATGTCTAAAAGGGTATGTAAAATATATAAAAGGGTACATAAAATGGAAAGACAAAAATCRTCAGGCATCAGTACAAAGATCTTCCGTGTACCAGATACTGAGATTTGGCAGTCAAGAGGAGCAGGTGCTGCCCTGAGAAACAGCTGCAGTGCAACTAAAGATGAGCACAGTTTCTCTCCCCACCTGTAACTGTGACACATCACATACCAGTTGAATCAGAGGCATTCTGTAAGGCTTTCCAATATAAAGAGCTAATAAATCACCAGCAAATGTGCTATAAAGAGCTACAAAAGAACATGACCAGAAATGCTCATAAACATCTGTGAACCATTGTCCTAAACTGTCTATTGCCCTCTTAATATTTTATGGGTATGAAGTAACSGTTTATTGTTCACTGTTTGCTGTAAATTAAATTTAGCAGAAAGCARGACAGCAAAATGAGATAAAATCTTTAAAGCTCATGCACGCAATCACTTCTACAGAGGACAGTTACCAGTGTGCAGCAGTGCTTGCAGGACAGGGGATCCTGCCCTACTGCAATGGACTGTTTTGCCCCTAATTCCCTGTGGTCAGGCTTTCCCCCAGGAACTCTGCTCTGCTCTCATGTCAGCTGCAGCATGGGACAGCTTTAGTGCTTGCAGCTAAACCAGCACTCTTCAGATTTAAAATTGAATGACTCTCAAGTAGCTACAAATTTTTATTTCAAGATTAGGCAACATTAAAATCTGCAGTATTTACTCCTGATTTACTTATCTTTACTCACCCTAAATATCACAGGTAATGAGGTTAGGCTTAACCAGAGTACTCCTTGTTTTGCTTCATCCCGAGGTTTCCAAGCAAGGTTGTTGCTTTCTGACTGGTTTTGGCAGGAGGAATCTCAGCACAGTGCTGAGTGTTGCCACTCTGTGAGTGTTGCCAGAGTAAAAGATGTGAATGAACTTGAGGAATAATGAGTTTAAATTGTCATGCTTTCAATAACAAACAAACCCACAAAGGTTTCCTTAGCTGGAGTAATTGTGCTTTCCAGAGGTAYTTTTGGACATCCACAGCCCTTCAAAGAAAGCTTATTTCTCTGCAGGAGTRTCCAGTTTGAGTGGAAACTGCACTGAATACCAGCTCAGCATCAAGGAGTCGCTGTGCCCACCGGAGAAGTCCGGAGCAGTGACCACATACACGTGTGAGCTGGAGACTGGACACGGAGCCAGGCGCTCTCAGAGCATCAGAGTCACATACCTGCGAAAAGGTGAGGGRCAGGGACTGGTGACAGCTCTCTAACCCATAGATGGCCTCTGTGGCATGCAGAATTTGCAAGCAATTGGTTAAAAGTGCCTCTGACTAATGTGTTTTGTCCTGTGTTGTCTCAGCCCACGTAACAATATCTTCAAGCCCAAACTCAACAGTTTCCGAGGGATACGCGTTCAATGTAACGTGCAAAAGCGATGTGAGCAATTACGACAGCATCAGTTGGAWAATCCAGTCTGGAAGTGACACAAAAACAGTTGACTGTGATATGTGCATCAAAAATAGCAAATTCCCAGCCACATCTGTGCTCACAGTGAGGTCTGCCACACAGGCTTGGAGAGGTGAGTGAATATGGGCTCATTGGCTACAATGGCAATGAAATCTCTGTACCAGATCATTTGCAGCATCCCTAGCCCTGAAAATCATTGTGGAATCTGGCCACAGTAATAAAAAGCCCCCACAGTTAAAATTTTAAGTGYTGGAGGACAGCAATGATTGATGTTGCCAGCAGCATTGTACTTGCTCAGAATTCATCATCATGCAAAAGCTGAGGAAAACTTCTGTCAACTGAGACATGTTTTTGTATCACTTCTTTTAGGCACCTACATCTGCACATTCTCCCAGAAAAACCTGGAGAGTTCTGCCAATGTGACCATCGAGGTGGTTTCCTTGCCCCTGAAGAAGAACATCCTGGTAGATCCCATTGCAACATCAATACAGTGTGGAGTGCCACACGCCCTKGAGTGCTGCATAAGTGCAAAGACTGTGAGAGACTACAGGGTTACGTTTGTGATTCAGCAAAATGAATTCCAAGTTGGTAAGGCACAATAAACTTGCAGAATCATTAGTTTCACTCTGTGTCACAGCCCAGTCTCTGGGGTTTTTTTTTCAGTTAGGTCTGTGTAAATAAGCCATACTTGCTGTTTTCATGACAACCCAGAAGTACTTCTGAGGGTGTAAAAAAAGGGAAATGGATTTTTTTTAAAGATGGTTAGCAAATGTGGGGAAGATGGCTGGGATTAATACTGAAATGAAGTTTCTACTGTAGTGATAAATATATAATAGGTAAACTCAATGTTTGGTTTGRCTTGCCAGGCAGGGAGAGGTGGCTGTCTAGACCCTTCCTCAGATTGGAAATTGCTGACTTCCTTTTCTTTGCTTTAATCTTCCATTCTGACACTTTTTAAAATGAGTACTGAGAAAACATTACATAAGAAAATCTAYGAGTTAATGAAAAATGTTGAGTAACCCATTAAGAATGCAATTCAAAAACCTGTTCCATTTACTTTGAGGATACAGGGGGGCATGTCTTTAACAATACAAAAGCCTAAGCTTCTACATATTCAAATTCAGGGCAATTCTGCAAATTCCCTGAGATGTTTTTATATGCTGTAAATTTTCAAATGAGTTGGTTTTCATATAGTAGAAATTTTCAAAAGAGTTGCAAAACTGTTGAAAAAAAGCAAATACCAAAAAAAAAAAGCAAATCTACCAAAAAATAGCTCAAAAACATGCAGGAGTACAAAAACAACAGGCTGAGGAGTAAAGCAGGTGGAGACTGAGGAGTCCCTCAGAAGCTAAGAAAAARGCAAAGATGTTGTTGGAAAAGATTGCAGCCAGGAACCTACCCTCAGGCACAGGCATTCTGCAAATCAGTGGGAGTGTGGCACACATCCTGAGTGCAAAAGAACCATTGAAGAACAGCAAAACAGTATCCCAACCTAAATGAAACACCTGTGGTAGAGGCAGGAGRAGTATTCTCAAAAATTATTTCCAAAGCAAATTTTGGTTCCTGCACRGTTAAGAGGATTTGGGGAGGATTTGCTCATCCACCAGTAAATGRAAAGGTATTGATCATGCAGCAGCTGCCAGATTTATTAAGGGGAGAGTAAGACACAGAGATCAGTACACAGAGAGGGAGCTTTTTCACAAAGGAAAGTTGTTTCTTTTCCAGTACCCACAGAAAAGAAAGTTTTGCTGATGCTTTCTGTTGGCTTTAGTTGACTGACCCCAAATCGGTGTTAACCTGTCTTCATTCATCCATCCATACAGAAAAAAAGCGTAAAGACAATCTGTTTTGCTACATGTACAATTACACAGAAAAAGAATGTAGTGAAGGGAAAGAGTTGGCAGCACATTGCAAGTTCATCAACCGCATCGGACAGGAAGTCAACAGCGAATWTATAAAACTACGCTTGATACCTGGTAAGAAAAAAGTTGCTGTTTATAGCTGTTAAGTAGGACAACCCAATATCTTTCTTAAATCAGGTGCCAGACATTCATCACCAGACATCTAACAGCAACAGCTTTTTGTTAGCCAAGAATTTTTGTCTCCTTTTCTGATGGGAAATTTTTACACACAGAGGAAAATATTGGGTTTGATACAATTTTTTAAAATTAATAGACAAGATGTTTTGTCTTTGCTGTATTTGAAAGCAGTCCCAGTATGTTCCAAAGCAGTGATAGTTTAATCATTTACTGTCCCTAATTTTTTCTGGTGCAGGCTGCACCACCATGCTTTGTCCCTTGTGTTGAAATGTGGTCATGCAGCTCCCAGCTTGCACCAGCAATTTAGCAAGGATCAAAGATTGTGGTGCCTCTGGGAGAAGCCATCTGGCTCAGGAGGGCAGCCTGTGGGAGAGCATTTCCACTTTGAACACAAGAAGGGCAACCTCCATGAGGTGCTGCAGACCAGGGCAGCTTCCAGTCAGCTCTGCAGGAAATGTTTGGTAATTAGAATTCATCATTGCTAAATCCAGCTTTGATGTTTAGTTCTGACAAGAGTTTAGATATTTCAGCTCTTTTATACTAAATTGGAAAGGAAAAAATGTTGAACATCCCCCTAATGCAGAAATTTTGTTTTTTCCACAGCAGAGGTGCCTGCAGTTGAATCAGTGYATCTGCCAGATTTCACACACTTAGGCAATAAATATGCAGACAATTTAATTGCTTTAATCACTTTAATCAGCAGATATTTACTGATATGACTAAGTCAATCAAAGCCAATTAGCAACACTCACTCTTCATCAAAAAGGTGTTGAGGCCTCACTATCAAGATCCTAATGAATTTCCTGTTAGTCCTATGGCAGTGTTGAGTGCCTTAGCAGAATAAACTTTATATGAATTATTGTTCACTTAATGGTCAATATAATCCCACTCCATCTCTGATTTACCCTGTAATCTAACAGATAAATCTAAATATTTGGGTATTGGTTCRTTGATTTTGGAGCTTTATTAGATTTCCTTTTTAATTTCATGATTCATAAAAATTTGGAATGTGAGATATCTGGATCCTGAAAGGTCATAATTAATGAAGGCAGCAAGTTGAAATCCTGATTTAAAGATCTTTGAGCAGATCATAAATTTTGTGGGAGTAATTTATTCAACTCCCTGCTTCTTAATTTCTACCTCTGTCTCCTCTCTGTGCAGGTAAGGAAGTGTCCTGCTCCGACAGATTGGGCATTGGAACAGAAAGGGCCACATTAATAAAGCCATGCTGYGATAGAAAAAACCCAAAAGGTTTTACCCGAGGCAATACAACTTACCAGTGCATCAACAGCTCTTGGAGGGTTGCAAGGAATGACTGCCTTTCTGGACCAATAAATGACCTGCTGAGTAATGCTGAGGTAACACTCATGGGTTTTACAGAGGTTGGAGTGGAGAGGTGAGGGGAGAAAGTGAAAAAATGTTGGTTGCGTGATTTTTGCTTATCATTATCTAAAATGAATGAAGCAGTAAAAGTTTCTTTTAAAGATACAAAGAATGTTTGGCTCTATCTGCACCATCCAGTGAAAGAGCTGAGGTCCTCTCCTAGGGCCCAGAGGGCTTGAGGCACTGCATGGATAATGTTCACACACATGAACGCTCTGTCTCCCAGGCAGGTGACCTTGTCCATGGCATCTGTAAGGAGCAGGTGCTGGCCTGGAGTGCTCCCTGAGCCGTGCTCAGGCACAGACCCAGAGCTGTCACAGAGCACACCAACAGTGAGGCCATGGGAACAGCTCTGGGCCACTGCCCAACCTCACCCCCAGGCCCTTTCTGCAGTGCCCACCCTCTTGGCCACCACCCTTGACAGATGGGTGCCAGGCCTTGTTTTTCAGYYTTGGTATCCTCCCACAGCRCTCTTCCCTCCCACAAACCATCCAGAGTCACCTTTCTCTCAGCAAGGTTAGAGAATTTCACACAKGTCATGTGCTGCTATCTTCTGTTCCAGTCCTTGGTCAACAGCCCCGAGGCAAAAGGAAAACTCCCCTCCTACCTTGCACATCTTAAGGAACAGACAGAAAAGGARCTGACCACAATAAACAATTCTCCAGCAAACATAGGTGCAATCGTTTCCATCCTGGAACTGGTCTCCTCTATCCCAGCAGAGGCAGAGGAGCTCACTATTCAGGTAAGGTTTTGAGTCTCATTTATACCTMCCAAGCCCTTTGGCCTCTTTTGTCACAGGGGATGATGTTCTCCCCTAAGAAGTTTCACAGTTAGGATCAAGGTCAAGAGAGTGTTAAGGGAATGAGATGAAATGACAGCAAAGATACAGAAGAGTTTATGAAAACTCAAAATGATGAGGGCAAGGAACTTATGCATGAAATGGAAGATGCTGTAAGCGAAGCAGCTAGAAAGATTATAGGAGCTCATGGACATCTCCAGCATTCTGAGAGAGGAAAGGACAAGGAACRATGGGTGAAAAATTGGACAYGAGCCAGCAATGTGCTCTTGCAGCCCAGACACCCAACTGTGTCCAGGATTGCTCAACAACAAGCGTGACCAGCAGGTTGAGGGAGGTGATTCTGTCCCTCTRCTCTGCTCTGGTGAGATCTCACCTGGAGCACTGCAYCCAGCTCTGGGGTCCTCAGGGCAAGAAAGCTGTGGATGTGCTGGGGTGGGTCCCAAGGAGTGCCACAGAAAAGGTCAGAGGGCTGGAGCAGCTGTCCTATGATAACAGGTTGGGAGAGTTGGGATGGTCCAGCCTTGAGAAGAAAAGGCTTGAGGGAGACCTTATTGCAGCCTTTCAGTACTTAAAGGGGGCTTAAAAGAAGACTTTTAAATAGAGCCTGTAGTGACAGGACAAGGGAGGATGGTTTAAACTGAAAGAGGCAGGCTTAGATTGTGTAGGAATAAATGATATACTGTGAGGGCAGTGAGGCACTGGAATAGATTTACCAGAGAAGTTGTGGATACACCAAAGCCTGGAAGTGTCCAAGGCCAAGCTGGATGCCCCTGCCCTGGGAAAAGAGGCTGGACTGGATGATCTTTAAATGTCAAAATCATTTGGTGATATGATTCCATGAGTAGAAGTAGGAACAGAAAAAAGGTTGAAATAGGAATAGCGAGAGTAACTTCCAGGAACCATGATCAAGCAAGAAAAAGAAATTGGATGTGACAACAAATGAATAACAAAAGAAACCTTAGGAATAATTGGGAACTTTGATTTTGATGTCCAGAGGAAAAGCACATTGCTCTTCTGAACAGAAAAGTGCAAAAAGGCTTGATGGTTTGTAGGTGGAGAGCCCTACATGAGAGAGATCAAGGAATCAAAGACAGCATGAATGCTGAGAAAGAGGGGAAAGAAGGTTAGAGATGAAAAAATACTAAATAATATGTAAGAAAATAGTCACACAGCTCTGCTTTTGGAAACCTTAACTTGCAAACAGAGCATGCAGAGCATTAACAACTGAAGATTTCACATGGAATGAKCAAAATAAGAAAATGCTGGGCTTTTTCAAAAGGCACTTCTAGGACCATGCATAAATTACCATCAGAAACAACAAWTAATTGTATGGGATTTCAGYAACTGCATTATTCYTTTGTTGTTCCAGAATTTCCTGTCCACAGTGGACTTAATTGTTAATGATTCCACCACTGAAGCTTGGGAAGACCTGAATAAAGGGAAGACACGACAAAGTTCTTTGTTACTGCAGTCAGTAGAAAAWTTTTCCCTGCGCCTTCAACCAGTTAATAACACCATTCCTTCKGTGTCTGCAAGCACCATTCAGCTCCAAGGGATAGTTGTCAAGGAAAATAACAACACAGATTATAACAAGGACTTCCRCAGTTCAGAAAAACTCACGGTCAAYGTGCTCATTCGTGAAACTGAAATTCAGACTCTAACCCAAAATTCAACCATTGTCAGTGTGATGTACTCAAAACTTGGGCATATTTTGCCCCAGAATAGCTTYGAATATGTGAACGGTTTATTGATAACAACAACTTTGAGCAGCAACAGAAGCCAGAAGTTTGATGTTAATATGACATTTGCAAAGAAAGACTTGTCTCTAAAGATGCCCAAGTGTGTCTTTTGGAACTTCACACTCAACAGTGGTAGGGGGGACTGGGATACTCGTGGCTGCACACCCACGGACTTGGGAGATTATGTGGTTTGCTCCTGCAATCACTTGACATCATTCTCCATTCTGATGTCACCCGATAGATCCTCCGAGCTAATCTTTGAAGATTATATTTCCTACATTGGCCTGGCCATTTCCATTGTGAGCTTGGTGGTCTGCATCATAATTGAATCCTTGGTCTGGAAGTACGTGACCAACAACACAACGTCCTACATGCGCCACGTCTGTATTCTCAACATAGCCACGTCCCTGCTGATTGCTGAYGTTTGGTTCATTGTCACCGCCTCCATCAGTGATCAAAACCAGCAGCTGAGCAGAGACATCTGCATCATGGCCACATTCTTCATCCATTTTTTTTACCTGTGTGTCTTTTTCTGGATGCTGAGCCTGGGCCTCATCCTTTTCTACAGGCTGGTGTTCATCTTACACAACACAAGTAAAACTGCTCAGAAGACAGTGGCATTCTGCCTGGGGTACGTGTGTCCCTTTGTCATTGCAGTCACCACCATCGCTGTCACATTGCCAAAGAACAGCTACACCAGAAAGGATGTCTGCTGGCTCAACTGGAAGGACAGCAAAGCTCTCCTGGCCTTCGTCATACCTGCCTTGGTCATCGTGGCCACAAACTTGTTCATTGCTGCAGTTGTGATAATAAAAATACTGAGGCCAACTATTGGGGATAGGTCAAGTGGGCAGGAGAGGAAATCTCTGTTTCAAATTGGGAAGAGTGTGGCCATCCTGACACCACTGTTAGGCCTCACCTGGGGTTTTGGCCTTGCCACCATCATCAAAAACAGTCATCCAGCTTTCCACATCATCTTTGCTCTGCTCAATGCTTTGCAGGTGGGTTGCAGCTGTTTTTGTTTCCTCTATGATGATTTAACATAGAGACATTATTGCAGTGCTGTGCTTGGCAGGGTGTAAGAACAGCAGGGAAAAGATCAGATTTGCCTTACACATCTTTGTTCCAAAATGGCTCTTTGGGAAACCCATTCCAAGAATTCAGCAGGGTTTCCTATTCTTAGAGGCCTTAACAGAGAGAGGTGTCTTATAGATAAAGCTGACCTAAAAATAACTTCCAACTTTGCCAGTAGTTTTGGGATCAACTTCACTGCTGAAGGCCAGGAAAACAGCCTTGTTATGTTCAGGTGGGCAAACTTCAGCATTCCTGTTCTCATTTGGAGTGCACCTGGAGGCATCATGTTATGCTCTCATGGATTCAAGTGRAAACAACATAAAAGTCACCAAGACCAGCTGAGCAGTACTAATGATAAAGAACTGGCAAAAATACACATGATTGAGAGTTTTCAGTCACTATGACCTTTACAATATATTTAGATGGTCAGTAGGATCTCTATACAATGAGATTTCTTAAGGACAAAAGAGTTATGTCTAATCTCTCTCTGTAAAGAGAATTCTTAAGAATGGCCATTCTTAAGAAAATGGTATTAAAGCTGTGTTCTTCAAACCAAACTCACTGACCTTTTCCTTTTGACTGGAGAGCATAGKCAGAACATTTCTTCCATACACAAACATTCCTTCTTCTAAACACATTTAGTGCTACCAAACCATCTGTGCCACTCTGTAGACYAGAAAAAATATAGAATTTAAATAGACCAGGCCTGGAGAACTCCTGCTGAATCAGCAGTCCACTCTGTGATATGCAGTTAGAAAAATGTCCTCTATCAAAGAGTTCAGATAGTATCATGGACAATGTTGGAGATAAATTTGAGATATTACAATTAAAGTTTGGTGTCATCAAAATGAATTTAATTATCTGTCTCCTAGGGATTATTCATTTTGGTGTTTGGGACTCTCTGGGACAAGAAGGTAAGAATTGAAACTATTTCTTGCATTATGTCAAAATACCGTTGACATTTGAACAGAATTTCTGTATTTACTGGCTAATTAATTTTTTCAATAGATACAAGAAGCCCTGTTGAAGAGGAATTCATTGTCCAAGTGGAGTTCRCAGCAATCAAAGGTTAGAACATTGACCTAAGAATGTATTTCACTGAACATTCTCCAGTGCACTTTATAKTCTGGATTATTTATTAGAACAAGTCAGAATAAATATGATAATATCACCTTTTTCAAAGTTCACTATTTTGACTATAATTAGTCAAAAATGAGATGGAAGTTAGTGGWCATTTGCTTTAAATTCCACAATAAATAAACCATAAAATGTCACTGAAACTTTTAGTTAGAAAACAGAAAATATCTCTGGTGCTATTATTTATTCACAGCCTGAGAGAAATGCAAGGGGGGCTTCTTGGGGAATTCTCCAGTCTCAACTTCTGCATTTATAACACCTTACCAAAATATGCCAGGGTGTGTAAGAATCTTAGAATTGTTTGAGTTGGAAGGGACCTTCAGGATCATCTGGTTCCAACACCCATCTGCCCCTCATCCTGAGCTGCCTATGGTGCTGGCATCATCCTGATATRACAATAAAGCTTGATTTTATATTGGTATCTGAACAGGGTTTATTCAGAAGAGCCTGTACAGGAATTTCTAAAGAACTAGGAAGCCGACTTAAGAGCAAAGATAATTAAGAAGATGAGAACATAGGCTCAAGGGAATTAAGGAGTCCCTTAGAGTTGAACTGTCAGTTCAGAAGAGAAGCACTGGATCAAATCACTCCAACTTCCACAGGAATTGCTGAAGTTGGAAAGCACCCTCAGGGATCATCYTGCACCACACTCCCATCAGAGCATGGTCAGCTAGAGCTCAGAGCTGTCTCCAGTTGGGGTTCGAGTAGCTTCAAGGATGGAGACACCACAATCTCTATGTGCAGCCTTTTCCTGTGTGTGGCCAACCAARCTCACAGTGGAAAAGTTTCCTCTTTAGAGGGATTTCCTGTATTTCTATTTGCTCTCAATGYATCTTGTCCTTTCACTGGGCACCAAGGAGAAAAGTCTGGCTCTGTCTTTACTCTGTTCCAGTTAGACAGCCCCCAGCATGTCCTGGCATTGGGTGTGTTCCTCCCCAGGGACAGGAGGACATTGCATTTCCCTTTGCTGGACTTCACAAGATTCCTGTCATTCCATTTCTCCAGCCTGTTGAGGTCTGAGAATGATCAAATAAAGTCTTTGGTTAAGCTCTTTATATGTGATTCATTTACCTTCTTCCTCCACCTTCATTTACATTCTTCCTCCACCACCTTATGATATAGGTGATAATACACAACACTGCCTAATTTCTGCCACCAAGGTACAACTAATGAATAAAGAAGGACTAAATAGAAAAAGATGTGTTTTCCTTAACTTTTTTTGAACACATCTTTGGAGAAACCCCATTAAATTCTCAAACAGCTCCAGAACTGAAACAGAAACTTCATTTTAGCAGCAAGAAGTTCCTTCTTTCCTTTGCATCTGAGCTGCAGAGAGTTGTGTTCCAATGCCCTCTAGCGTGWCAAGTTAAATTTGCCTCGGATTATCTCAGGCTGCTGTCAAGGACAATCCCCGTTCACATAAATCTTAGCTTTTCTGGCTACCCTAATGATCATATTGCTGCAGATAAGGGACCAGGACCCCTCAGTGCCTTTTAGGACAGACTCTGGAGCCTAAGGCATCTTCCTTGCCCAATAGTTAGAGACAAGCACTTTGTGCCTTGTAGATTTGTTTAACATTGAACTCCTTCATCAGCACTATAAACATGCAAATGTGTGAACTCGATACCTCACAGACATCTACATTGGCCTTCTGTGGATTGTTTGCACATATTACTGAGACAAAGTTTATTGGAACTGGTTTTTTTTTTTTTTTTCCCTAAAATGGGGCTACAAAGAAAGTTCTATGCTTTTGACAAAAAACAAATTTTCTCTCTTACAGTCATCCTCCCTGATCCTGGTGACACCAATGCTTGCTATGAGCTACCCGTTTTCAAGAACCTTTAACAATTTATGTGGGAAAACAGGTATGTGACAATAGATCTCCTTCACTAAAGCACAAACAAGGTTTTGCCCTCATTCTTTCTGTCAGGATCTGTCTGTCCTGATATCCATCAATTTATTTATCTTTCCATGAATCCATATGTGGTTTTTAATTTTCTAATGCAAAGGAACTGCAATAAGTCAATTGTAGCATAATGCTAGCAGCACAATTGTCTATCTCTGAAACAATTATTGGATGTTTCACCAGTTCTAAATCCCACTAACTTGTTTTGAGCTTAATGAGATAATGGCTCAGTTCATTCATTATTCATTTACTCTTCACCGCCTTGGAGCTGTATTTCYTCAAAAGTTCTGGCTCTCATTTTAGGGACATCACCATTTCAGTTATGACTTCATCTTGCAAAAAAGCACTGCTAGAAAAATTATTTAGTTTCAAAGTACTCAGTCTTTGTATCCAAACATTGGTCAGAGAAGATGGTGACATTTGGTCGAAGTGGGATGTGAAGTTTAATGTAAGCAATCAACTGGTTTTTGAAAGCCTTTTTATTAGTCAGGTAATGGAACAGGGACACTAGCCAGACACAGAAGCCTCCACAAGAATGAGAGTTACCCACAACTGCTTTCCATGCTGCTGCCACCTGAAACTCTCCTTTTATAAGCACTCCTCTACACTGCTCTCACGCTCCATGTACTTGGGTCTTAGTTTAGAGCCTTGTGGCCATAAGGGAGAGGGAGCTGGGATTCATCTTAGGAGCCCGTGGATGTGTTGTGTTCTGGATGTGTCCCCCTGCTCCAGGAGAAGCACAAAGTACCTCTATTTTTGTGAGTAAATCCCTGCTGTGTGGCATGGTTGGCTGACACATCCTGGCTGTGTCACCAAGCACAGKGAGTCCTGTGGTTGCTGATAATGCTGTAGTCCAGGTAGTGCCAGGGTTGCAGGGCCACCTTGGCCACCAGCACAGGTGTAACTGTCCTTGCTTTGCAGTGCCAACACATCCCAGGCTCTCTGTCCTTATCTAACCCTTGTGCTTTGCTTTGCAGGAAAATACAGAGTATCTTCTTCTGAGCCATCCACATCTTCCACAGAAAACACTTCCAAGGCCTATTCCATCCTTAACTGAAGCACTGCCARTGCTAAATTGTGTAACTCTGAAAGGACCTCTTCCAAGACACACAAAAAGTACCTGGGAAGTGGAAAGTCAGCAGGAAGTGGACTGCTTYATTTTGACTAAACTGTGCCTTGGTGCATTCTTCTGGAATTGTCTTCTGGGTAATGTGTAAGGCAGGGAAGCTGAGAGAGATGGAATTTTACAAGGTCTGCCAATCCCAGAAGAGATGGAAAGGGTCTGAAGGCCTTCAAGTGCAAAGAAAGGACATTGGGAATGAAGAATTCTCAGCCCTTAAGTGGGTGCTTAGCACTATGCAGTACTGAGCCATGAATTGCAGTGCTTCACACAGTTTTTGTCCAGTGGATTTGCCATTTCCCCTATCAACTCTCTGAGTGACCCCAAAGGCCTGTGTAGATACACAAGTACCTCACAGCTTCTCTCCTGCCCTTGTATTATTATCTGGAAAGGATATAGTGGTATCCACTTTCTATTTAAGACTTTCTGGAACCAAAAATTCCCAACTGAGAAGGCCTATTTCAGATCTTCACTTTTGACTTATGTAAAATGAAGACCGTGATGATTCCTGCGTGGTCTTCTTTCAGGTGGAAAGACTGAAAGCTTCACGTGGCACTTTCTTGAAGGAAGCTTTATGCCCTTAACAATATTTTTCTTTGATATATAATGTGGTAAGACAGAGATGGTTGCTGCCCTCTGCCACAGAGGGGACTGCATTTAGTTAATGCACAGTAGTGTGCAAGGAGTGCCTTGTGTAAAGTCTGTGTGTTTGGGTCTCCTCTCAGAGGAGAATCACACTTGAAGGACTCAGAGAATAAACTCTGTAGTGAATATAAATCACCATGTGCCAGGCAGGATGAATGGTTTTATATAAATTATTGCTCTAATACTACATTTGTGGAACCAGTTATTTTAAGCCTGTACACCCTTAAAGGCAGGACTCCTGTCTTGAGAAAAACCTGAAAAGTATTTATAATGCACACAAATGTTACAAAATTTAATGTACAATATGGTAGATGGAATCATGAAGAGGTCAATATCAAATACTGCAGTCAGGTGGTACCCCTGTTTGCTTTTCAGGGCATCAGGCCTGTGTTTGCCAGTGGTGAACCTGATCTCAGAATTTTTGGGTGAATCAGGATGGGGAACTGTTCCCTAAAGTTACAAGCACTTATGATGGTTTGGTTTGGGCAAGGAGGGGATGACTGAAGACAATAATCAAGCATCAATCAAATGTGGTATTTATATTGAAAGCAATTGCTATTTGCTTCAATATGAAGATATAATACCAGAACTAGAGCACACTTAGAAGTGAAAATCCAGAATGTCTTTGAACTGCATGGCCAGTAGACACTGAAAATCCCAGCTTCACACGTAATTCCTACCAAATCTTGCCCTTGTTTAGCCATTTGTTTTAACTCATTCTGGAAATGGCTTGTGCAATATTGCTCACTCTTGCTGAGTGAGAAAGGCTTTACAAGAACTGTAAAGTACAAGTCCCTGCAGACAACACAGYCCCAGTCCCACCAAGCCATGGCTCTGCAGGCATTTTATTCTCTGAGGTTTCACCACGCTGCCCAGCCTGGCTCTTGACTCTCTGTGCATGAGAAATGAGAATGTGATGCCAAGCTGCCTGGCACCAAAGAGCCACCTTGGGACGGATTGTCAAAGGCAAAGTCTTTGCCGTTGTAACAAACTAATTGACCAAAGAGAAGCAGCTGAGAAATATCATCACCTCTGMCAGTTTAAAAGACTTGGAGTCAAGGCTTCACTTGAATACAGACACAGATAAAGATATAATGGGGGGAAGAAAAGGGGGGAGTGCTGAATGAAGGGGAAACATGGCACCAAACATGYTGTACTGCTTCCCTGCACTCTCTACAGCAGGAACCAAGACTTTGGCATGAGCAATGTGGGCAGTGGGCTCACCAACAGATTTCTCCCTTCATTTTGGGCTGTTATCCCCAGTTCTTTGTCCTGATCCAAATCCCTTCACTCACCTGTCCTTTCCAAAGTCAAGGATGTCACAGGGCTCCTTTCCTGATGATTGCTGTCACGTACCTCCCCTCTCTGAACAGCAGTTCCCCTGCCATGCCTATGGCTTTKCCTGGACCATAAATAAACCAGCACAGGGGCCAAATAGAACTTGCACGGCTTTTTTTTTCTTTTTGTGGTCTGGCTGGAGCACTCTCTCAAAGCAATGCTCGCAGCAGAGGATCCTGGCTGCTCCTTGTTCAGCACTACTGTGAGCATCACCCAAATCATTGAGCCTATGTTGTCCCCAAGGCCAGGTGAGCCAGGGCAGCCAAGAAGGAGCCTGTCCAGAGCCCTCTCTGACAGGGATGGCCACCAGTCCCACACTGAGAACCCCTGTGTAACTGCAGGTCTGCAGCTGCCAGCCACACTGGGAAGGATGAGGTATCTTGATAACAACAAAGAAAATACCTGCCCAGAACCATCTGGTTCWAATCCYAGCCTTGATGAGGGAACAACCACASAAAAGTTGCCCTGCTGTGATGCTCTGAAGGGAGCCAGACCATCAAACAGGGCCYAAATGCACCCAGGATCACCTGCCAGGACATCTTCTGTGACTGGAAACCACCACAGGTTCTCCTGGCAGAGAGGAGTCAGTGCGTGGCTTGGCAGAGTGGAGATTTGGGCTCTGTCTGTGCAAGCAAATGGAACAGAGTCAGAGCCTACACGTGTTTGGAATGCACAGTGACAATTTGCATTCTTGTTCTTGGTGCCCCTTTAGGGACACCAAAATCGTGCACAGGGTGCCACCTGGCTGGCACTTGCCTGGATCCTCTCTGCCTTGGTTTCTGCCTCACACATTCCCTAGCAATTGGCACCACAGGATTTTTTTCAACTTTATGGATCTCTTGTCTTTCATTCCATAACCCTGTGTGATTTATGAGGTTATCRCCTTGGGTGAGAAACTCACTTAACCCAAGGGGGAGTCTCCTAATCCAGCTGGCAGAAAGTAATCAGATCTGTAATTCCTTTTCACCTGTGATGTGACCCAGACAGTCAGGTGTGTTGCAGGAAAAGCTGATATAAGTGTTTCATTTTATTTAAAGGCAGATAATAAGAGGGACAGAGTATTAACTTGCTAATAATGCCTTAATTAAATGGATGGTTTGTCCCTCCCCACAGGACTGCTGTGATCAGCAGGATGAATCCAGGGGGAAGCCAGCTCCCTGTGTACAATCTACTGCCATGAGAGTGCATTTTCCCTTGGCTGCCATCCCTTCTAACTTGTATCTGATAAGTACAAGGGCAGCATCACCCTTTGTTATTATTTACCTTTTATATTCTGAACTCTTGCAGATGCAAAGAAACTGCTCTCAAACTTTGATGTCAAAGTTACAACTATGGAAACTGTTAGAGCCCTTGAAAGCAGAGATCTTGGGACACACTAGATCAATTGTTTCCTGATACCTGCAGTTGTTTGAGGGTTTCAACACTTTATCCAGCACTTTGTAGTACCACAGACCCAGTCTTCATCTTCATACACTCCCACCCCTCTCCCTGACTTGTGTGATGATGATTTCCAAAGACATGTGAACTTAATGACGACCATGACAGAATCTGCCCTATGATAATTGATACTCTTCAATTCCACCCAAAGCCTGTTGAAATTATGGGAATTTTAAAGTTGGTTAAAAAAAAAAACAACTTGGATTAGGCTCAGAGAATAGATTACACTTGAATAGTGAAAACCTTATGTGATGAGATCTTCTGGAAAGATCTAACTAATTTTAATGTGGAAATATTTCCCTGCTAAGACCATTGGCCAAAAACATGCAGTAGTAGTTTATGAATTCTGTGTCATAGCTAATTAGTRTAAGTAAACAAGCACAGCCTCAGGGAAAGTGAGTGATGATGTACTGATTTACATGAATATGGATTTGTACCCTTTAGAATTCTTAAGCAATTTTTGCTGGAACATTTCCAGAATCTTAATACCTGTGTTTTAGTGTGATTTTTACTAGTGTTTTGAGAGGTTCTACCAGCTATTTAATCTAAGTTTGATCTGTGGCTGAGAGTAAATGYATGGGCTCTCAGAACTGCTGCTTGCAATGGGATGAAGAAACAAAACTTTCAAACACACAAGAAAGGCAGTGTATGAATTTTCATCAGACAACAGYTCTACATGACACACTTTAACTGCCACATCCCTTAGAAAAAGAACAGATTGCTGCCAAGCTGTTGGCAGAGCTTTTCATCCATTTGATGACTGGTTTTCTACAAGTTGTATTCATTGTCTTCCACTGAAAACAGATATCTTATGAACTATGGAAAAACACCAGGTTGAGATTTGTCCCCCTGCAGTTTTTCATCTTCTAGCCATCATGGAAATGAGGACAATAGTTAAGACAATGGTTCCAGCAATTCCACCAATTGCCATTCCCAGGATGTTCCCATGGACCTGCACTGACTGACACCTCTCACCAGTGAAGAAGAAGGCTTGTCCTGATGGGCACCTGGGAAAACAAAGCACAAGTGGCTCAGGAGCCTTGTCATCCCCAAGGTCTTCACATTCACTACCCAGGTTGAGCAGTTCCCACTGGAGGGGTTCACATCACAGCACCCCCACCTTGTTTGGAGGCTGTTTACCCACCCTGGAAGCACCACAGAATGGGGGTTCTTTGCCTCATGCAAAGAGACCTCCCCTCCTGGCTGCTGGTAGGAACCAGTCACTGTGATAAAGGGTTTTGTTTCTACTGCTCCTTGAAGACCTGGTGGCTTAGATCTCTGAGATCTGTAATTCTGAATATYTTTTAGCTGCATCACTTTCAGAAGAAAGCCAGGGCAAGGAGGGAGGAGGTCTGTGGTACCTGCAGCTTGCTTTTCCTTTCACATTCACACAGACTCCATCATTCTGACAAGGATTTGGGTCACACGGGTCCGGCAGATAAGGCAGCTGGTCCTGAACAGGCTCCATGTCCTGGGCTGCTCTCTTCTGCCTTTCAAGGACGAGGCCTTCCGTGAGGGCAGATTGCACAGATTGAACAGGAACCTCAGTGTTATTGAAGTGGATGATATCTTTAAAAAAAGGAGAAAGACATCAGGAWCAGTGAGTGATGCCATGTGCAGTGTGCCTCACAGCAGGGCTCACAGGGTGCTTTGTGGACCAGAGGGTGCTCCTTGTCCATTTTCCCTTTACAGAGCTCTTGCAGTACTACTACAAGTTCTGTGTATTTAAAGCATATGATAGAAAAAAAAATACTGAAATTACCAAAACTAGTTAGTTAGGTAAATCTGTGATGTTTTGTACTTTGAAAAATTATGCCAAGTGTGGCTGTTTTATTTGGGAATAAACACAGTGGGGTTGGCCTTTTAGTATGTTCAGTGCTTAGAAATGGACATAGCTACTGGTCAGGGTGCTTAAATGTGTCCAAGAAGTTAACATTCCAAAACTCACTGCCATTTAGATCCCTTTGAACTAACAATCACTTTAGTCAGCATCACTCACCTGACACTAGGACACAAAAATGCTTTTTAAAATTGATCCCCGATAAAAGAGAACTTGGAGACAGGTGGCAGGAGTCGTTTGAATGCATGAAAATAGAAAGAATTACCGATTTTGTAAGAAGAATCAGGAAAAGGGTCCTTACCGTTAAATTCTGCAAAAATAATCAGGTCATCGTTTTTCAAGAAGCTTCTGCGTCTCATCTGGCTGTGGGATATGAAGTTATCCCACCCCCAGTTTCTACTTCTGTAGCAATTGCACGACTCATCAAATGTTCCAACAATTGATGGTTTCTCCCATATTATAGTTCCAGTAGCTGCAAAGAGGAAATGAGAACCACAAAGTTGTGCAGCTCGAAGTATTACATAACCTTTTTCTGCATTACAGGTGTCAAAGGGGATCTGTGTTGTAAAATCAAGTTCAGACCTGAAATTCCCAAACAAGTCACAGAAGACTGACAAACTAAGGGTGCCAGGGGATCTTCAGGTATGGTCTGCATTCTTAGTCTGTGTGAGGTCATTGAGATTCCACAACTCATTGCAAACATTCCACAACAAACATTGAGATTCCACAACTCCATAGCAAAACATAAATTACCTTCTCATTGTCACCAGCTAAGAGCTGCCTCCTGCATAAAGACACTCCCCCATTASTTTTAAGTACCTGTGGTTTACAGTTTAGTAGATTTTGGGCACTGCCATGTTTCTGTTAAACATATTCATGCTCAAGGTTTAAAAGCTCCTACTGGAAAAGTATGTACTAAACTTTCCCTGGAAAAGGTGGAAAGAAATCTCTAGTATTTTATACTGTACCAAATTCATTGTTCTCCTATTATTCTTACTTCTTGCATACATTCATAGAATCACAGAATGACTTGTGCTAGGAAAGACCTTAAAGATCATCTCATTCCAACCCCTCTGCCATGACAGGGACACCCTCCACTATTCCAGGCTGCTCCAAGTCCCATCCTGCYTGGTCTTGATCCTTTCCAGGGATGAGGCACCCACAGCTTCTTTGGGCAGCCTATTCCAGGGCCTCACCACTCTCACAGTAAGGAATTTCTTCCTCATATCCAATTCTAAACCTGCTCAGCTTGAAGCCATTCCCCTTTGTCCTGGCATTCCATGCCCTTGTAAATAGTATCCCTCCATCTTTCTTGCAGGCTCCCTGCAGGCACAGGAAAGCCTTAGTTAGGTCACCCTGACTGTTCAGCCTTCTCCAAGCTGAACAATTCTGAATTAACTCATCCATGAGGAAGTGTGAATCTTGTGCATTCAGACCATGTAGATTGAAGTTCACTGAACAGGTTGAAGTTCACTGAGTTTGTTGAAGTTGACTGAGCCTCCATAATGCAGTTTTAACTTGAATGATTGTTAATTTAGTAATAGAATGCTGCACCTTGCTGGCATTCCATTAGCCTCTGGTGATATGGAATGGACCTATCATAATGGACAAATCACAAGTGGAATGGGAATTCTCAGCTCTTGGGAAAAATCTGTATTTAGAGTGAAGCTCAAATATCCCAGGGGTTGTTCATAATAACACCAACCTTATGTGTGTCACTTTTCACATTATACAATCT